CTTTGTCATTTTTATGCAACGGCGTAAACCACATTTTCATGAAAACCTCCGTCACTAGCTTTTGTATGCCTTCCTCATCGTTGACGCGTCTTATCATTTTCACACATATTTCCGGAATTTTCTGAAACGTCGGATACTCTATGCATATATCGCGAAGAATTTTTATTACACGCTTGCGCACCGACACACCAGTGTCCAAAATTCTAGTCGATAACATATCATAATACTGGTCTATTAGCTCTTCGTTGCTCAGCACGAATTTGCCAACCAAATCGACGGCCGCCTCACGCACAGATATCGCTGCATCCAAGAACTTTTGGTTAACGCCCATTTGCATGTCCTTGCGTCTGAGTACCATGGGATCAACTTCGACAATGTTAGCTAAGCATTTCATCGCACGCGTTCTTATAGCAATCGACGGCTCATTTACAACCAATATGATCTTTTTGAGGTAGCCATCAAATGACTTACTAAATGGTCTTTTGCTAGCCAAATATTGTGCTATTAAATGTGCATTATTATAATCGATATATGTTTTAATATGTTGTGCATGATTGGAATCACCCAGTGTTGAATATGGATTTATATTATTCACTAAGCATTGCTTGCGTTTATCAAGCAAATTGAATCGTTCCATATTCAGCTCCTGATTGCCCATAGTACAATCACCGCCAACACGGCTATCAACATTAACAAAGTTAATATCATCACCGCTGTCATCATCTGAATCACTGCCGGAGAGATCGGCATTTGTACGCCTTTTACGTGAGCTCTTCTTTCGTGATGTATCGCGCTTTGCGCCCTCATTGATATTACGACGCTGATAAATTATATCACGATACCACTGGGTCAAATAGAAATGTCGAGCATAATCCCAAATGGGATTGTCCACGTGTGCATTGGCGGCTAGGAAATCTAAGAGGATCTTTTGCAGAAACTCCACCCGTTCGTCCTCTTTTAGTTCGACTTTGTTGTTGCTAGATGGTAAATCTCCCTCTTTCTCTTGCTCCACTTTAATATATCTGATCATTGAGTCAATGACATTCACTTTGTAGCGAGAGTCTACGGCATCCTTACGCAAACGCGCAGCCACAATGCCCAAATAATCCAAGGAAACCAAGCGTATACTTTGTTCTATAGATTTATCGGATACATAACGTACAAGCATGGTTCCCAAAAGTGAAAGCAATAATTCGGATGATGGCCATTCGGGTTTGTTTACGGTTGCCAGAAGATCGTAGATAAAATTTTCAAATATTGGACGGAAATCAGTTTCATTGGAGCGAGATTTGCACTTATTTAGAAATGTTGTTAGAAAATTGCCACCTATGCTTATAGCGACATCGTATTTTTTCAAAACAATCACATCGATATTTTGACGATCGGTTTGTGTTGAGAAACTAGATGCCTGACTCGCCAGTTCACCATACTGTGGTAATGATTTTCTTTTGTTATGCGAATTACTATTCATAACATCGGGTAAAATAGTAACGCACTGAATTAGTTGGAGCACTAATGCGGTGACCATTTGAATGTTGCCGCTATTGTTGATTAATTTGAAAGGTCGGAGGTTTTTCTTCGAAGACGGCAAACGATCAATGGAGGTCAATATATCACCTAGTATACTGCTGCGAATTTTGACATATTCCTCCTTTCGAAATAGGGTTGTGACTAATTCCAGGCACACAAATTGCAAGGTTTCGATGTTATCAACAAAGAACGGTTCGATCGATAAGGTGGAAAGTGGCAAAATGATGGTATCCACAAATATATATCTATCGAAGAGTGTAACGAAGACCTTCATTAGCTCGGTGGCTTTTGAGTACAGCAACTGCAAGCTGCGATTATAATTTTGATAAATTTTCGATTTCTTACGATTATCCGCCTTTTTCATACTTTTTACTGTATATACGGGATCATATGATGGAAAGATTGTTTCACGAAATTGAAAATGCATAAATTTTATAATGAGCGCAATGTTATCCTCTTGCAAAAATTTTATATCTTTCGAAGTACAATAAATGTTGCAAATAAGGAGGCAAGCTTCGATTCCATTTAAAATCTTTTCCATTATTTCGTCGTCCATAATATCGTCTTCATCGTCTGGGCTTGCCGAATAATTCTTGGCCAAATAGACATTTCGCATAGCGTAATTGACCAGTTGAGCCAACTTAGTTTTCGGTATAACATCTAATACATACTTTGCTTTTAACTTGGCGATATCGTTGCTCATTATATTAAGCATTCTAGATGATATACATTCGATATTCTCGTCTACATCATCCGTATCGAAATTCGGAACTTCTGTGTCGTCCAGCGTTTCAATGATTTGCTCCAAATTTCGCATGAATTGTTGATAGGTTTGTGATCGCAATATTTCGTCCTTCGTACATTTCGCAGATGGTGTAGAAACGATGCGCTCAACACAACGTAATTTCGGCTGAGAGTGTATTTGCTCGGGTGGAACTTCGTCAACTGAAGGCGCTAGCTTCCTTTTCATTGCGAGTGGTTTTTCGTTCGTTTTCATTAAAGTAAACGCATCGTCGTTTTCAGCTGCTTTCGTAGTTAACTTTTGAAATTTCTGATCTGTTGAAGGTGGGGCTTGGGCATCTCCCGACGCCGACGTTGGCGTTGGTGCTGGTGGCTCCACTTTATTTGGAGTTACCAAACCAAATTTTCTTGCAGACTCTGGTGATTTCTTTACAAATTGTTTTATGCTTTGTTGCATGAGAGATGCATCCTTTTCTTTAAGTCGATTTATACATACCCGAACATTGGATTTCTCGCTGGGTTTACTGCTCACACAGGTATTAGGCTTGGGATCGGGCATTATGAATTCATTCTTAATAGGTACCAAAATCGGGTCGCTACTTTGTTTTTCTTCACCTGCCACAGGAGCAGCTAATGTTTGGACTGCTGGTGCTTGGAAAGCTGGTGCTTGGAAAGCTGGTGTTTGGACAGCTGGTGCTTGGACAGCTGGTGCTTGGAGAGCTGGTGCTTGGACAGCTGGTGCTTGGACAGCTGGGGTTTGGACAGCTGGCGCTTGGAGAGGTCGAGCTTGAACAGCGGGTGCTTTGACAGAGGTTGCTGTGACAGCTGGTGCTTGGACACGTCGAGCTTGAGCAGCTGGTGCTTGGATAGCTGGAGATTGGACAGGATGTGCTTGAGCAACTGGTGCTTGGGCAGTTGTTGCTTTGACAGCTGGTGCTTGGAGAGCCATTGCTTGGGCGACTGTTCCTTGGGCAGCTATTGCTCGGGCAGCTGCTCCTTGGGAGGCTGATGTTTGGACAACTGTTGCTTGGGCAGCTATTCCCCGGGCAGCTATTCCTCGGGCAGTTGTTCCTTGGGCAGCTGTTGCTTGGACAACTGGTGCTTGAACAGCCATTCCTTGGGCAGCTATTGCTCGGGCAGCTGTTGCTTGGGCAACCGTTGCTTGGATAACTGTTGCTTGGACAGCTGGAGCTTGCACGGTTGGTGCTTGGACAGTGACATTCTGTTGGGTATAACCATTATTAGCTTGGTATTGGACATTGCCAATCGGCATTGCTGTGGAAGGGTTGTCTGGCATTAGTGCAGAATTTGGATTTTGATAGTTCTGGGTGTGAATTACAGTTGGTTGCAATGTGTTCGGAATCGCTGGATTAGCTTTTTGTTCGATTTGACTTGGTTTTGTTTCACACGATGTCGAATTCAACGGTGTCGAAAAAGTACTGGTGTTCTGGAAACACGCTACATTTTCGAAGCCAGCTTTCTGCTGTTCCCCAGGAAGTGTTTGCTTTCGGTCCGTTATTGGATGTTGGACCTTATGATTGATAGGAGTTTGGACATCGAAATTGTTATTTTGCATGGAAGTCATTTCCATTGTTGGAAAACTCCCACTTGATGGATTGTTGGTTATAGTCGCGTTATTTACATTCAATGGCATTTGCTGTTGCAGACGTTGCAGATCCTCAGATTGCAACGTTGCGTTGCTGCCTCTTTGCCCATGTACTACATTGTACCACTGTTGCTGCTGTTGCTGATGCGTTTGTTGTCTATTATTTTTCTGTTGATTTATTTTACCATTATTGGTATTAAACACAGTGGGACTGTAGCTGTAAATGCCTTGAAGCAACTCTGGGTAAGTATTTATATTGGTACCGAATTGTTCAATGGCATACTGGGGCTTAAGTTCTATTATTTCAGAGTTCGTTTGTTCGATAGCATGAACCAATTGCTTCACGAGGTTATCGTCCCGCACGGACAACAAATTATTGGATTCCTTAGCCACTAGTGTATGGAATAGCAAAGATTTATTTAACGACGTGACACTTGCCAGTGTGTCTGGTACTGGAAGTTCACTTAGTAAGTCCGACAAACTTGTCAAACAAGCCAAAGTGGTTACTGGAACACTGGGAATATCGGGGTCGGTCATATTCATTGATATTTTTTCAAACAGTTCTTAGAGCACAGAATACAGCATATAATATTTGACTGATGAACCCTATTCTATCGCTAATTCAGACGAAGCTTCCTTCCAATAGATTTAGATACCACACAATTGTGTACATTCGTTGGCGCAGCTGTGCGTAGTCAAAAACTAAGTTGTCTCGCAAAGCAGCAATATTGCGCAATAGTTTAGCGGCAGTTTATATATGAACATAACTTGAAATGATTAACGGAAGAACCTAAAATATTGGAAAATTTAGAAATTTCTCACAAAATATCGGATTTTTACCTCTTTTGCTGACACAAAATAGCTGACACAAGAAAACTGGAAATAGAATGACATTTGAAGCCGCATTGCCAACTTACTATTGGCATCCTTTGAGTTGCCAAACGTACTTCCAACGAGAAAAGTACAGGGAGATTTCAAGTTAAAGTCAAAAATAAAATTAATCGAGTTGGTAATTATTCTTAACGAAATAATAAAAAATATTCAATGCTTTATTCTTAATCAATTTTAACAAAAAAGTTTTCTTCATAATGAAAAATATCGTATGTACTTAATACGGCGAAAATATTAAAGTGAAGGATCCGATTGGTAGTGCTCGTTGCTTTTATCAATATCCTCTAAATTTAAATCAAAGTGAATTCCTGAATCACTTCTAAAAGTTTTGGGGGACGAGGTAGTCGGATGTTTTGATCGCTTAGCCCCAAAAACAACAACTTCATTTTCCACTACCTTACGTTTTTCGGTATTTCCATTGTTGTAGCTACTATTTAAGCATTTAGGTCTAAAACACTCATCTATTTTATTATTCTTCCGTGGTGGACTCCAATTTAGTTCGTGATGTACTATAGCTTCCACAACTAATTTCTTCGCAGTTATTTCTGGGCTGCTAAATGGTGATGTATCGGAGTTTGGAAAACTATGCATTGGAGTATTGTGGCTAAAGGCAACAACAAAATACATACATGAATAGTTTATTTGGACGTTACGTATTGAAATAAATCGTACCAGTGCGTTACCGACTTAACTATATTGTCGTTATGCTCTTCATTTGCCTGCATAATTATTGTAGATGAATGAGCATCGCAATGCATTTGGACATATTCCAATTCGCTTTCCTGGGATATGAATTTGTTTCATTTTTTTTTTACTATTATTGTATTTAATATGTTAGCGTGGTACCTTCCGAGCATGCTCAAGATCGCTTTCAAAGAAAGCCGTCTCACATTCCAGCTGCGATTCCTCCAATGCTTGCATCACTTGCTGCATTTCTTCGAATTTCATTCCTTCTTCATAGAGCCCTAAACCTTTTATCATGTCGACGTGAAAATATAAAACTGGCAGGGACTGTATGAGTGCTATTATATTCAACTCACTAATTAAAGATGTTTTGTACTCCTTGAGCTTTGTACTTCTTAACTCCATTTTTGAAAATTTACTAAAAGTATGTATTATTTTTATGTTAAATGCTAAAATAAAAACGTGTTTACTTGACCCTCTTATCTTTATTGTTTTTTTAAATAACTGTATATTTTAGCAACATGTTGAAAGAATAGGGTGTTACATATGCCAAAAAATTATTCTGATGTAAAAAAATTTGCGAAAGCTATTTTAAATTGTTTGCATAATTTTAAATTGAATGATTTTTTTTTTTTTATATTGCAACTCGATTCTAGGATATAGCAAAGAACGTTGATAATAAAAACTCGTTATATTTGTAGCTGGATACAGGTTTATAAGTGCGAATAATAAATTCGGAATATTAGGCGCATTCTTTTCCAAACGAGCTACCAAAAGAACACTCGCGAAATGACGCAAAGCAACAATCAACCTCGGCTATTTATGCGACTTCAGCCAGGTCGTTTAAAAAATACGCTACCTGAAGGGTAGTGTTGTTGAGTGAAACAACTGCTCTTTTGTGAATTGTTAATGGGAAAATGGAGAGGGAAATTCTTTGTTGCCTTATATACGTGACTTATTTTTTTTAAATAAGTGTATATATTACTCAAATACCCCGCATAATCACTCATTTAAATTGGTTTTTGTATCCAAATTCCGTTAAGCTAATAACTTGTTTCTTGCCCGCTACCAATAGGGTTGCTGAAAGGGAATTTTACCCGAGTTGAGAGTTCTTTTGTTGCTCGCTTTCAAAAAAATGCAGCTAATGGGGTACAATGTCCTTTGAGCTAATTAAACAATCCTGTTGGTAGCTGGCAAGAAACATGTGATTATTTTAACAAAAAACCAATTTCAATGAGAAATTTCGCGAGGTATTTGCGTAATATATATACTTCTTTAAAATAAAGGTCACGTATATAAGGAAACAGAACTTTCCTTCTCCACTTTCTCATCAACAATTCACAATAGAGCAGTTTTTTCAGAGCGTACTTTTAACCGACCTGGCTGAACTCGTATAAATAGCCGAGTTTGTGTTGCGTGTATATCGTCATTTAAGCGAGTGTTCTTTTGTAGATCGGTTGCTAAAGAATGCACCTAACAATTATTAGGTAGTTCATGGGACTTCAGTCAATAGCGCCCTGCTTTCATATTTTGAATCAGAGAATCTGCGTTACCCTGCGCCAAAGTTATCGTTTGGTTTGTGACTTTGCTTAGCTCAACGTCAAGCAAGCATAGTTGCCAACTAAAACATAGATATGCTCCCATTTTCACTTAAGGCCCGTCCACATACAACTCTTTTGTTACATTGGCGTTGATGCCGCTACCAAAGAACGTAAATGTATAAGAAGAGACAACTCGTTACTTTGAAAATGTGCCGGCCCGATTTTGACCGTATCTGAAAGGTTGAGACAAAGAACGTAAATGTATAAGAAGCGACAACTCGTTAAAGTCGGCGAGTGAGGTCTGAAAGGTTGAGATGAGGAGTTCGCGTCCGTTTTAACATCCATTTTCGTAAATGAATTCNACATGGCCGCAGCTCTTTTTGTTTATTTGCTGACGGCATTTAACAATTTGCATGCGCATGTGCATAGATTTACTTTATTTTATAATTTTAAACAAATCTAAGAAAATTAAAAACATGCGCTATGCTAAGCTTCCTCTTTAGTATGGAAGTTG